TTCTAATGAGGAACCGTCCCTCCTGCCAATCCTCACCCACAGAGCTTTTCATGGTTCTTTTTTCTGGCCCATGATGGATTTGACCAACACACAGGAGGGTTCGAAACGCAGTGGGCTTGTGGTGAACAATTTAATCAGCCTTAGATTCAAATTATCTCTCACGTCCACAGGCTCTGTAAGGAGCTCTCCCCGGGATTCGAGGGGCTCACCGCCTCCTCCCTCTTTTCCTGTCCTTTGGGCAAGCCAAGGCCACCCTCTGCCTACCTCTGCGGGAGAAAAGAAGGCCACCCAGGCGGCCACCTGAGCCCCACGTGGTCTGAAAGCTGCAGGTATCTTTACAATGTTCTCAGGGAAATGCTGTGAGTTAATGGCACATTCACTTGTTCCCCGTGCAAATGACGGGGCTCTTTTTGCAGAAAGTTATTTCAGCTTCAACGGCTGTGGCCCCTTCTGGTGGCATGTTCTTGCCAAGCACATCCTTTCTGCTTGGAGCCAGTGTGCTAGGGACAAGGGACAGTGAAACTTGCTGCCAGACCTCAGGTACCTCATCCAGGCACGTCTCGGGCCTGGGAACCCCGGCTTCCTCTGGGCGGAGGGTTCAGCCACCAAAACAAAGGAACAAGCAAAAGTGGGCCAAGAATGAGCCACAATGATGAAAAAGGGAACGAGGTGTATGATTAATCCATTCTGTGTGCTGAGATCCAAAACATGATCAAAGACGGGGCGCCTGGGTGGCCCAGTTGGTTAAGAGTCCGACTTTGGCTCAGGTCGTGATCTCGCAGTTCATGGGTTCAAGCCCGCGTCGGGCACCGAGCAGAGGGCTCCAGCTGGAAGTCCTGGGGCCTCTGGCCGTGACCCTGGTGCCGGCCTGACTCCCGGCTTCCGGCACCTGTGTCTCGGCCCAGCGGTCTCTGTGCACAGTGGCTGTGAGCGTCTGGGAATCAGCCCCTCCCGGGAAGGCCCCGAACCGGTGCCGACACCCACTCAGCAGACGTGTGACCTTGTCGGCTCTGTGCCCGGTGCTGCCGTGGGTGCTGGCGCTGGAGGACGGCCTGCCCCTGCCTCCGGGCCACCGACGGTCCATGGGTGCGACAGTTAGAAGAGACATTTATGAGGGAGAAACCTCCCCCCCAAACCTCCTCTACAGAGTCACCGGGGTGTGCAGGGCCAGCCCCTTTGGGTGGGTTCATTCCCCAGCCGGCCCCATCTCTCCACACGGCCCTCTTCTCCACCCTCTCCCTCCCCACCCCTGCGCCAGTGCTTTTGTGCTGTGGGGGGAACCCCCATTCCTTTTGCTTGGGCGCGTCACTCATCCTTGAAGATTTGGCTCTGGCACCGCCCCCTCCAGGAAGCCTTCCTGGACAAGCCCTATGTGGGTCAGGCGCCTCCCGGGACTCCACAGACCACAGGACTTCTCGGGCACAGCCCCGCCAACCTTCGTCGTGTTGCAGTTGTCTCTACAGGACCAACAGCCTAGAGCCTGCTTCGGATTCTGTGTCTCCCTCTCTCTCTCTCTGCCCCTCCCCTGCTCATGCTCTCTCTCTCTCTCAAAAAACAAACATTAAAAAAACATGATCAAAGAAGGCCCAGACAATAAACGTATGGCTGCCTCCCGGGCTTATGCTGCGGCTCAGTGCACGGGGCTGGGGTCTCCATTCTGGGCCTTGGAACCACAGGTGCTGGCAGGCTGGGCCCTCGGGGGGCTCCTCAGGCTGCTGGTGGAGTGCGGCTCCTTGAACAGCAGATCCGAGGTCCTCATTTCCTTGCTGGCCAGCAGCGGCGGGCCTTCCTCTGCTCCTAGAGGCCACACCCTTGCCTTGTCTCTCACTCGTCCCCTCCATCTCCAAAGCAGCCACCCGACCCATTCTCATGCTTTGAAAAGCTCTGTGACGTTGCCTGCTGGGGCAAACTCTCCACTTGTGAAGGGCTCACCGAGGCCAAGGCCGCCGGATAATCTCCATTAAGGCCGACTGGCTCGGGCCTTCCATTACGACTGCCAAGTGCCTTCAGAGAAGCATCTAGATTCGTGTCGGATTGGATAACCGTAGGGTGGGGATCTTGGGCCCATCTTTAGAATTCCGCCTACCACACCATTACCATATTTTTTTTTTTATTGGCTCATTTCAGAGTTGGATAAAAGGATGAAAATCCATGTCCCTGCTCAGGGACCATAATAAAATGAGAATGATAATAATAACAAAAACAATGCAGCTTGTGTCAGCCAACATGGATGCAGGTCTGGCTTCGCCTCTGACAGTCATACCGAAGTTGAGAAAACTATGCAAAAGCTCTGCCTTTTCCCGCCTCTGTGACCTTGAACGGGTCACCTAACCTGACTGGGCTCCGTGTCCTCCTCACCATATTGTGTGCTGACCCAAAAGAACATCTGCCCGGAACCTGGCACCCACGGGTGCTCGACTATTATGAGGATCACACCCATGGCCCACACGCTATTGGGCCGTCTGCCAGACCTTCTCCCGAGGTCACCTTCTTAACGGTCATCCCATCTTTGTTGGGGGCGCCACGTCCACGGTATGGCTTGCTTTTCCCGCATCGCTGTCCGGGGCACCCATGACCTTTGCTAAAAGTGTTTTGCAGGCTGACCCAAGAGTCTTCCCATACAAGCAGCTTCGTCTCCATGGAGAGGACTTGCACTGAAGATCTGGGGGAACTACCTCAGCAGGATCTCAAGAGCAGTGGCCAACTGACATCTTCCCAGGCGTGACCCAAGCTCCCTTTGGAGAAGTTCCCAATGTGGCCACGAGGTGGCAGCACAGGCAGACTGCTGTTCAGGGAAATTCCAAGGGGCAGGATACAGATGGAGAGGGCATCGCTTCCTGGCAGGCCTTGACCAACTGGTGGCCGGGTCTCGGGTGGGGCATCGCCCCCTCGACAACCTGTGCTTGTCTCTGTCTCGGGACACAGTGGCTATAACTCTCTGCTGGTTGCCCGCATGCTGCGCTACAAGCTATTTCGGATGCCCATTTGATTTCTTCTGAGTTTGAAAAAGTTAGGAAATGAATATTTGTATCTCTTTTAAACTTCACAATAAATGATATGATCCCAGTTTTATAGGTGAGCAGATCAAGGATCAAGGCCAAGACCAAGTAAGTGGCTTGCCCAATGTCACAGCCAGTGAGAAATATCACATGACCATTTTACATTTTATCACAGAAAATCTCAAATACACAAAATAGTCATAACTCTGATGGTGTTCACCACCCAGCTTTAACCATTATCGACATTTTGCCACCGAGTTTCTCCTATCCTCATGATTTCCTTACAAGAGTATTTATAAAGCAAATTCCAAACACTGTGGCAATATACTGTGGATGCTTCTGTTTGCATTTCCAAACAATTGGGACATTTTTACCTAACCATCGGGCCATTACATCTCCCTAACAAAAGTGTCAATAACTCCTTAGTATCATCTGATACTGTTTATACTCAAACTCCCCACCTCGTGTCACACAGGTCTTTTTTACTTAAAAAAAAAAAAAAATTTTTTTTTTAATGTTTACTTATTTTTGAGAGAGAGACAGAGTGCAATCAAGGGAGGGGGCAGAGAGAGGGAGACACAGAATCTGAAGCAGGGTCCAGGCACTGAGCTGTCAGCACAGAGCCTGACACAGGGCTCAAACCCACAAACCAGGCAATCATGACCTGGGCCAAAGTCGGATGCTTAACTGACTTGAGCCACCCAGGCTCAGAACAAACCAACTATAAAGAAGACATGTATAGTTCCTTTGCTCCAGGATGATCCAGTTAAGGTCCACACATCCATTTAATTATGCTTTTAAGCTTTTATTCTCAACAGTCCTACTTCCTTTTTCCCCCTCCAGCCCTTTAATTAATTAATAAACTGGGTCCTTTTTCCATAGAACAGCACACATTCTGAATTTGGCTGTTTGCCTCTCCCTGCAGGTGTCACAGGCTCGGGCACAGCGCACACATTCATTCAGCATTACCAATGCTTCTAACGCGGGCAGAGCAAAGAATAGAGGCTTGGTCCTCACAAGTGTGAGGACCCCCTGGGAGACCACAGGGCCAGCCCTCCAACTTACGGGGTGCCTGCAGGCTCCGGCCTCCCCTCTTGGCAGACAGGAGGACTGCGGGCCAGGAGTGCAGGAGCAGGAGCTGAGCCAGGGCTCCTGGGGGCCCCTCGCTGGAGGGACAGCAGCCAAGGGGTGTAAGAAAAGCCGCACCTCCACTTCAGGGCATGTGATAAAGTACCAATGGCCTTTGTCAGGCTAATGACAACGTTTGGATATATGAGCTTTAGCGGAGTCCCCAAGGTATTCCTAGGTGCTGTTCTTATTGTTGTAATTTGTGTTTCGTCCCGAGGAAAGCGAAGGTGCAAAGAAAAGCAACATACACGCGTATCTCCGTCCTCCACCGTCCACACGGTAACGCTGTCACATCCGCCTCTCAGGTTCCGGCACCCGCCCCACCAGGTGTCCGGGACTGAGAGTGCCCGCCAGCACCACCACGAGTCCGCAAACGCCGGGTTTACGGCGGCCCTCACGTCCCCGCAGGTGCACAGACTGCGCCCCGGCCCTCAGGTGACGCGCGCGGAACGAACGCCTGACACTCCGGAGACCCGCACCGCGCTGCACCCGCCCCCGCCCCCAGGACGAAGGGCAGCGGAAGCACAAAAGGGCTCGCCGGTCGCAAGTCTCTTGGGCTTGAGCAGTGCACTTCCGGAGCCCCGCCCCCCGAAGCCTTTTCCCCATTGGCTCTGCCCTGGACCACGCCCCGCCCGCGAGCGTCTCCTCCCACAGTTCCCTTCACCTTTCACCTCCTCACCTTCTGCGGCTCCGTAAAGCCTAAGACCCCGCCCACCGAGAGGGGAAGCTGAAGCGTGAGAGAGCGCTCAGCAATGACCCACAATTATTGGTTAATATTTTATGTCCATCAGGGGAGAAGCGGTTACGGACTGGCTGCAGGGAAGTAGTTGGGCGGGGAAGCAGGCACAGAATCTACGCGAGTGGCCAGGCCTCCGAGGGGGCGGGCCAGCGGCCTCTACGCCTGCCTGGTGCGTGCGCAGTGACGGCGGCGGCGGCGGCGGCGGCGGCAGTCATGGCGGCTCGGTGCGTGAGGGTGGCGCGGCGTAGCCTCCCGGCTTTGGCTCTGTCTCTTAGGTAAGGGGCGCCCTGCTGCGGGTGGCTGAGGAGGGGCGTGGTCCCCAGTGCCGCTCCTACTCGGGCCGGGACCGCGCCGCCGGCCCTGCCCGGCTCTGGCCCGGGAGCTGGGCGTGCTGGGCCCGCGGTTCGCCGACGCGGCGCGCGGAATAGCCGCGCAGGACCTTCGCCTCGGTCGGGCTTCCGGCGCCGATCCCCAGCACTCGCGGCCCCGGCTCTGGCCCCGCGCCGGAGGCCGGGTCGCTAGCAGTATCGGGCGTGCGTGCCCGGGCAGCGCCAGGCCGGGCCCACGGGGGCGCTCGGGGAGTTTGGTGGCGGTTCCCGGGCTTTTTCCACTCGGCCCCGAATTCCTTCTCCACCTCCGCCTTTTCCGGAGTCTCAGGCCCGAAGTGCCTCGAAGCCCGCTCCGTCGTGGAGCGAGGAATGTATTCAGACAAGTGCAGTGACTCCGCAGGGAAGGCCTCAAGAGCCGGTGCGCTCGCCTAGTTCATTATTGTTATTACTTTTATGTGTACTTACTTGGAGAGAGAGCGCGAGCGGGGGAGGTGCAGAGAGAATCGCGAGCTGGATCCTTGCAGAGCCGGAGGCGGGGCTCGATCCGACCAACCGTGAGATCATGACCTGAGCGGAAATCAAGAGTGGGGAGATGAAATGACTGAGCCACCCCGCGGGCCCTGTTTTCTCCTCTTCTCATCCTGCAGCTGCTGTTTCTTCAAAGTCCTACCTCATAAGTTAGTTTGGGAAGTAGTTAGCATCTTTGCTGTAGGAACTGCTCAGAACCAAGTTATTTGCCAGAGGAGCTGCTCTGGGCCAAGTGGAGACTGGGCAGAGCAGGACCTGCACTCTTCCTTGGAGGAGCTTTTGCACGTGGATGGGAAGCCCCGCGAGTGGGGCGAAGATTACCTAGAAGGAAAGGGGATGAAGGTGTGATTTCCAGCCTGATCAATTATGTAAAACAAAACAGGGGAACAGAGAGCGGGGACCCACCTGGATTACCTGAGTAAAAAGGCATTTCTTTTTCTTTTTCTTTCTTTTTTTTTTTTTTTTTTTTTTTTTGGGCTAGGATTTTTT